TTTGGGGTAAATTGTACTAAGGCTTCAATGTGGAGGGATACACTCCCTAACCCAATATTTGAAACAAAGAAATTGAGTCAACAGTTATACCATTTAAAGACTGAGCTACTCCATCAAGAATGGAGACAGGGTAAGTTGGCAATTTTGGCTGTTTTTAAGGATTTATACTTATGACCTTGCACCCAGGGAGAACACAAAGCACATCTTCTGACCCACCCAGGGGGAAGCCAGGGCCCATAAGTTTGTTTGACAAACCCATTGAGTTCCATTTGGAGCAAACCAGGAAATGCCTGGTCTGTGAATCCAGTCTGTAGCAAACCAGTCACCGATTTTTAAAATTATGAGGTGGTCACAGTGTTCAAGGGAGATCCACCCTAAATGTTAGGTAGAGTTAGGCCAGTTACAGAAGGTGTGATTCTGTTGTTCCCAACACAGGGGCACTTTCATGTTTAGTCTGTAATATTCAGGAATTAACCAAAAGGTTCCATCCCACATCTGATTAAATCTTTCCATCGTCTTGTGTGGCTTTTGAACAAACTTTGGCTGTTTTTTAAGTTTGAGAGCCATATTGACATTTATCTGGGTAGCAGAGCTCAAGGAAAAAGGGAAATTGTGGCCTGGCAGGCTTACGGCATTTCTAGTAGGCCAGCTTAACGGGTCATAGTAACTTCAGTGTTTATAGCAGTTGATTGTGAGTCTCATAAATTAAAATACCCAGTTATTTCCAGTCTGTTCCCTGTAAGGGTGAAACCCATCACGGAAGCCCGGGAATGGATGATCTGGATGTAGGAAGCTGGCCGCAAATCCAGCAATTAAAGTAATTAAAAGAATCAGCATAAGAATAAGCCCATTGTAAAAGAAAAAGAGTTATTTCCCATTACCAGGCAAGGAAGGGTTAGAAAGATGGCAAGAGCGGAGTTTTATGTTATATTTTTTGTTTAAACAAATACTTATGGTCCTTTAGCGTTTGTGCAACCCAATGCTCCACTGTTTCAGTTGGCTGTTGCTTGTGAAGGGGTGGGCCTTTAACCTCAGCATCAGCCCC